TTCACTTGATATTTGGGTTTCTTGCGGTTTGTTCTTGGAGATTTGGTTCACTTATTTTGTGAGGTATTTTCCTCTTGTGATTTACACCTTGGTGTGTTTGTAAGGCTTATGCCTTTTGGCCACTTTGTAATCTGATTTGGTGATAGTGGAAGAAACTGACCTACCGGTCGTCGTGGATGTACCTCAAGTTATTTGAGGGAACCACGTAAATCTTGTGTGCTTATTTATTTTCTGTTATTTTATTTATATTGCTTCCATTGATTTACACTTGTGGGAAAGCCTATTTTCCCAACATCTGGTATCAGAGCAATTGGTTAATTCGGTTCCGATTCGTTATATTTCTGTGTGTGAATTATGGACGGCAACGTTGGACGTATGGTTAGTTTCAATGGCACAAATTGGGTGACTTGGAAAACTAAAATGGAAGATCTTTTATTTTGTAAAGATTTGAATGGACCCATAGAGGGTGATAGTGGCAAACCGGAAGGGATGAAAGATGACGAGTGAAAAAAGCTAGACCGGAAAGCTGTCGGTTTTATTCGGCAATGGATTGATGATAGTGTCTTTCATCATGTCTCTACAGAAAAATCTGCACATGGTCTTTGGACCAAATTGGAGAGTTTGTATGATAGAAAGACGGCAGTGAATAAAGCCTTTTTATTTCGAAAGCTTGTGAACTCTAAATATAAGGAGGGTACTTCTATTGCAGAGCATTTGAATGAGATTAAGAGCATTGTGAATCAGTTGGCCGCCATGAAAATTACTTTTGATGATGAGTTGCAAGCTTTGTTACTTCTTAGTTCACTTCCCGAAAGCTGGGAAACTTTGGTGGTCACAGTTAGTAACTCCGCACCTGATGGAGTGGTAACAATGAGTCAAGTTACCAGCAGTTTGTTGAATGAAGAAACAAGAAGAAAATCATCAGGTTCTTCTTACTCCGAGGCACTTGTAATGGAAAACCGGGGGAGAGGCAGGAGTAAGAGTAGGGTTCCGCACAACCGTGATAAATCTAGAGGTCGTTCAAGCTCGATGTCAAAAAAGGATGTTGAATGCTATTATTGTCACAAGAAAGGGCACATGAAGCGGGAATGTAGAAAACTCAAGTTCAAGGAGCAGAACAAAGAGAAAAATTCAGAGAAAAAGCAAATTGATACAGCTGTAGTTACCGATGATGAACTCATGATTATCCGTGATGATGCTAGCGTTAATTTGATTGGCCAAGAGACGGATTGGGTAATTGATTCTGGAGCTTCATTTCATGTTACTTCGCGGGCTGATTTCTTTACTTCTTACTCACAAGGTGATTTTGGGAATGTCCGTATGGGAAATGAAGATGTGTCAAAAATTGTCGGCATGGGTGACATTTGCTTGGAAACAAATATTGGATGCAAATTGCTGCTTAGAGATGTGAGGCATGTACCAGATATTCGACTCAATTTAATCTCTGCTGGAAAGTTAGATGATGAAGGCTACATCAACAATTTCAGTAATGGAAAATGGAAGCTCTCCAAAGGTTCTCTAGTGGTAGCAAAAGGAAAGAAGACTTGTTCTCTTTACACTATGCAAGCAAAAATCTGCAAGGGTGTTGTGAATACCTTAGAGAATGACTCATCCACTGATTTATGGCATAGAAGGCTTGGACATATGAGTGAAAAAGGATTGCAAGTTTTGTCCAAGAAAGAGCTTCTAGTGGGGATAAAAGGTACGCCTTTGAAAACTTGTGTTCATTGTTTCCATGGTAAACAAAACAGAATATCATTCCGTAGAAACATTGCATCTAGAAAATCTCATGTTTTAGATTTGGTACATTCTGATGTATGTGGTCCTTTGAAAGTTAGGACACTTGGTGGTGCTCTATACTTTGTCACTTTTATTGATGATCACTCTAGAAAAGTTTGGGCTTATACACTGAAAACTAAAGATCAAGTTCTAGATGTGTTTAAGATTTTTCAGGCCAAGGTTGAAAGAGAAACAGGTAGACAGTTGAAATGTGTTCGCTCGGATAATGGTGGTGAATATATTGGACCATTTGATCAGTATTGCACAAATCATGGTATCAGGCATGAAAAGACAGTTAAAAAGACACCTCAACAGAACGGGGTTGCAGAGAGAATGAATCGCACCATTCTTGAGAGAGTCAGATGTTTGCTCTCACATTCTAAATTGCCAAGATCCTTTTGGGGTGAGGCAATGAGGACCGCAGTTGATCTTATCAATTTGTCTCCTTCAGTTCCGTTGAATGGTGATGTGCCAGAGAAAGTTTGGACAGGGAAGGAAGTCTCCTATGATCACTTGAGGGTATTCGGCTGCAGAGCTTTTGTTCATATTCCAAAAGATGAAAGGTCCAAGCTTGATCCAAAAGCAAAGCAATGCATATTTCTTGGCTATGGGCATGAAGAATTTGGATACAGGTTGTATGATACAGTTGACAAGAAAGTTGTCAGAAGCCGAGATGTTGTTTTCTTGGAAGATCAGACTATTGAAGACATCGACAAGCTTGAGTCAGCTGAGTCTAGTACTGATGATCTTGTTGATTTAGATCCTCTCAATCCCTCTGCTGTTCATGATATTGATGAGGAAGTGCAAACACCTCATGATGATGCAGCAGAAGATGATGTTGAGCCAGAGATTGAGGGGGAGCAACCACCCCAAGAGCCACTACCACAGACACCGTTAAGGAGATCTACTAGAGAAAAACAGCCATCCAGAAAATATTCTTCAAATGAGTATGTGATGATATCAGATCAGGGGGAGCCAGGGACTTATCAAGAAGTCTTGAAGCATGAGAACAAAACTGAATGGTTCAAGGCAATGAAAGAGGAAATGAAGTCTTTGCATGAGAATCACACCTATGATTTGGTGAAGCCGCCTAAAGGGAAGAAAATTTTGAAAAATAAATGGGTCTTCAGACGAAAGAATGATGGGAACAGTTCTCAACCGAGATTCAAGGCACGACTTGTCGTGAAAGGTTTTGATCAGAGAAAGGGAGTTGATTTTGATGAGATCTTCTCACCAGTTGTGAAGATGTCCTCCATTCGAACTGTGCTTGGTATAGCTGCGAGTATGAATTTAGAAGTTGAGCAGCTTGATGTGAAGACCGCATTTTTGCATGGTGACTTAGAAGAGGAAATTTATATGGAGCAACCTGAGGGCTTCAAAGATAAGGGTAATGATCAGTTAGTTTGCAAATTGAAGAAGAGCTTGTATGGATTGAAGCAAGCACCGAGGCAGTGGTACAGAAAATTCGATGCTTTCATGAGTGAGAATGGGTATTCAAGAACCACTTCAGACCATTGTGTGTTTGTGAAGAAATATAAAGATGGTAATTTTATTATTCTCTTGCTTTACGTTGATGATATGCTTATTGTGGGCCAAGACACGAGTAAGATTAGCAAGTTGAAGTCAGAGTTGAGTAAGTCCTTTGCCATGAAGGATTTGGGTCCAGCAAAGCAAATTCTTGGGATGAGAATTGTTCGTGACAGATCACATGGGCTGATTTGGTTATCTCAAGAGAATTATATTAAAAAGGTTCTTGAGAGGTTCAATATGGACAAAGCAAAGCCTGTTAATTGTCCACTTGCAGGCCACTTCAAACTAAGCTCAAGTCAGTGTCCTACAAGTGATGAAAAGAGAAATGAGATGCAGAAAATTCCCTATGCTTCAGCAGTTGGTTCTTTGATGTACGCCATGGTTTGTACTCGACCGGATATTGCTCACGCAGTTGGGGTTGTCAGTCGATTTTTGTCTAATCCAGGGAAAGAACACTGGGCAGCAGTGAAATGGATTATGAGGTATCTTCAGGGCACTTCAAAGATGAGTTTGTGTTTTGGTAAAGGCGAGCCTATTCTTGATGGGTTCACAGATTCTGATATGGCTGGTGATGTTGATAGTCGAAAATCTACTTCTGGTTATTTGATTACTTTTGCAGGGGGAGCAGTGGCATGGCAATCAAGATTACAGAAATGTGTTGCTCTCTCCACCACAGAAGCTGAGTTCATCGCCATCACTGAAGCTTGCAAAGAATTATTGTGGTTGAAGGAATTCTTACAAGAGTTGGGTTTGAAACAAGAAAGGTATGTCCTTCATTGTGATAGTCAGAGTGCAATCCACTTGAGCAAGAATTCTTCATTTCATTCGAGATCGAAACATATTGATGTTAGATATCATTGGATTCGTGATGTCTTGAATGATAAGTTGTTACAACTTGAAAAAATTCACACTGATGATAACACTTCGGATATGTTAACTAAGGCATTGACTAAGGACAAGCATGAGAAGTGTCGACTTTTGGCGGGAATGGTCGAATCCTCCACATAAGTCGGGAGGGGGAGAATTGTTGGGTTTCCCTCCTTTGTGGGACTCATCAATTTGCTAATTTTTTGGTGGCTTACCCGTGTAGGACTCTTATCCAAGACTTGGTTTGGAGTCTTCTAGTTAAAAAGGAATTTGGCAGCCACCAAAGACTATTAGTTTTGTCTTTTTCTTTGGTTCATCTCTTCTCTGTTGGTTTGGCAAGAAGACATATTTTCGGCAGTCTTTGGTTCAACAAAAATTCAGCCTTCTTCTTCTCTTTTTTGGTGCCAGAAAAATCTGCAAATTTGTTCTTCAAGTGGGTAACATTTCTTCACTTGATATTTGGGTTTCTTGCGGTTTGTTCTTGGAGATTTGGTTCACTTATTTTGTGAGGTATTTTCCTCTTGTGATTTACACCTTGGTGTGTTTGTAAGGCTTATGCCTTTTGGCCACTTTGTAATCTGATTTGGTGATAGTGGAAGAAACTGACCTACCGGTCGTCGTGGATGTACCTCAAGTTATTTGAGGGAACCACGTAAATCTTGTGTGCTTATTTATTTTCTGTTATTTTATTTATATTGCTTCCATTGATTTACACTTGTGGGAAAGCCTATTTTCCCAACAGAGTGGACATGTAGTTCGCTAATCTGGCTGGTTTCTTCTTTTTCAGCTGCTCTTCTTCTTCTTCTTCTTCTTCATCTGATCAGCCCAACAAAGGGCAGCATTGGCTCCAATAAAAAGAGACCACCAGGGCCACCAGGATGGCCGATTGTGGGCAATATGTTTGATCTTGGAACAATGCCTCACCAAAATTTGTACCAACTTAGAACCAAATATGGATCGGTTCGTTGGCTAAAGCTTGGTTCAACGAACACCATGGTCATACAGTCTGCAAAGGCTGCTGCTGAACTGTTCAAGAAACATGATCTTCCTTTCGCGGACCGCAAAGTTCCAGATGCACTAACTGCCTTGTGCTACAACCAGGGATCATTGGCTTTTGGAAATTATGGTCCCAACTAGCGCATGCTGCGTCGGGTCTGCTCCATGGAGCTTCAAAACAATAAACGAATCAATGAGTCGGCTTCGCTTAGGCAAAAGTGCATTGACAATATGATAATATGGATCGAGGAGGATTCAGCAGCGTCGCGTGCACAGGGAGGAACAGGTGAAGTGCAACTGGTGAGGTTCCTGTTTATCATGGCTTTCAACGTGGTTGGCAACCTCATGCTGTCCAGAGATATTCTGGATAGACAGTCCGACGAAGGGCAGCTGTTCTTTGACGCCATGAACAAGGTCATGGAATGGGCGGGGAAGCCTAATGTAGCAGATTTCCTGCCATTTCTGAAATGGCTCGACCCAATGAGGATCAAGAGGAATATGGTGCGGGACATGGGAGAATGCATGAAGATTATCTCTGGGGTTGTAAAGGAGAGGGTTGAAGAAAAGCAGTCAGGAAGAGAGAAGATGGGAAAAGACTTATTGGATGTGTTGATGGAGTACGAAGGTGATGAAAAAGAGGGACTTGGCAAGATTTCAGAGAGGAATGTGATCATCATCATCCTGGTAATTTGGTACTCTACTACTAGTTGTATAGCTTACAAGTATAAATCAAATATTTACCAACCTTTCAATGATGCAGGAAATTTTTTTCGGTGGATCAGAAACTTCAAGTAGCACCATTGAATGGGCAATGACAGAACTATTACGCAGCCTTGACTCAATGAAAAAGGTTAGGGAAGAGCTTGATAGGGTCGTAAGACCTAACAGGAAGGTCGAAGAGAGTGACATCAATGAACTGCCCTATTTGCAGGCAGTTGTCAAAGAAACACTTCGATTACATCCAGCAATTCCTTTATTGATTCCACGGAGTGCAAGGGAAGATACCAACTACATGGGATATCTCACACCCAAAGATACGCAAGTACTAGTGAATGCATGGGCAATTGGAAGGGACCCCGAGGCCTGGGATGACCCTCTATCTTTCAAGCCAGAGAGGTTTTTAGGTTCAGATATCGAGTACAAGGGCCAGCATTTTCAGTTCATTCCATTTGGATCAGGGAGACGGATTTGTCTAGGCTCTTCCTTGGCTCATAGAGTGATTACCCTTAGCCTGGCTAGCTTGCTACACTCCTTTGACTGGGAGCTTGATAGGTATGCTACTCCACAGACCATAGACATGAAGGAGAGGATGGGGTTAACGTTGCGGAAGCTAGATCCCTTGAGAGCAATTCCCAAAAGACGAGCTATGTGAAAATGAATTGCTAGATAAAACATACCCAGGAGGCTGTGGGCATGTAAGATTACTGTTGTGTTCTCCTTTTTAAGATTGTATCCAAGCTTTTATGTGATTTACTTCTATGGTCGCAATAATCCCTCCTAGTTTTCTTTGTAATATGGAAAAACCGATCTTCCTTCCAGCAATTTGAAATTTCTTCAATGTGTATGACTATATTTTGCAGTCTAATAAATAAATTTTGAATCATGAACATTTGGTGATGGATTCAAAATTATTTTCAAGTCACATCGTCTTTGTTGAGATTGGCAACAAAACTAGTAATTAAAGAGAACTTGTTACTTTTCTTTCTTGGGCACTAATAATTAAACTTAGTGATGTTGATAAATTCATAAGAAATAATACTTAAATCCAAATTAATAAATTACAGATTATACCTAAAAAGTTAAGCCCAAAAAGGAGATTGCATTACATTCTCATACCCCAACATTAAGAGGAAGTACCATACGCAAAAATGAAAAAACAGCATTCCTAATACAATTAATCATAAGCATATAAGCTAAAGAGTTTTTGTTAGGTAAAAATGAAAAGAAATGTTAGAAAGGGCGACAGTAAACTGGCTGTGTTAGCTGTTTTCTGCATGAGGCCTTTCTTTTTATCTTTCTTAACATAAGAAAAAAACAACAGCGGACCAGAGAAAGCGATGAAACCCTACCTCACCCACCGCCTCTTTCCCTTTTCTTCTGGACACTCCTCACCAACCCCAATCTCTTCCATTAACTCCTATTTTAATCTTACCTGAATCCCCTTCTACCCTCTTGTGCATCTTTGTCTTTTCCCTTTTGTCCTTTCCCATTTGTTTCCATGTCAATCCCCAAGGTAACCCCTTTTGAAATTGAAAGGGAGTTTACTCCTCTCGGCATAAATGCTTGCTCGTTGTTGGGTCCATCAAATGGACAGGTCATTAAAGTGCTGCACAAAGCTTTTGAGAATGAATCTAACGGGAATACTATTGTCATGGAGGTTACCCCAAATGGAGTTGCTACTGTGGTGGCAGGATGCTCTGTTCCAAGTGATGTTTATGTTGTTGAGTGGTCTGCTGATATTTCTGTGGAAATACCCACCGCAAAATCTAGTTCCCTTGGTATGGCCCTTGATAATTCAGAGGGTACCCGGTGTAACGAGGCAGAGCCAAGTAACCTTGCGGAGCTAATGCGTGAAAATGAGTTGCTAAGGACGATGGTTGAGACCAATAGGAAGTTTGATCAAGGGGTTTTGAACCATTGAGGTTTGGCCACTGGTTGAGGAAATGAAAGAGATCCATCACAAGGGGGGTGGAAGGACTGGAAGTAACACATCCACTTGGGGTGGCAGGGGTGATGTTGGAAATGGCCATGGGAGCAAAACTACTGCAAGGTTGCTAGGGAAACAAATTTATGGAGCAACACCAAATCCATCAATAGGTACTCCTTCCAACCCTTCTCTTAATCAAGAGACTTTTGCTAGTGCTCTGGTTGAGAAGCAATCTGGCACATCTTGGGTCAGCAAAGTGAGGCATAACCCCAGATTAGTTATTGAGATGGAATTTATGGCCCCTAGCAAGAACAATGGTAGGATTACGGTCCAACCTCCCAAGCAAGTTGCTCAAGAGGGTTGCTCTAAATGGGAGGCAAGCATTGTGGGTTATTTTATTGGAAAGAAATTGCCTTATAATTTGGTTAAGGCATTTGCTTTGAGAATGTGGAGTACGAAGGGGTTGTTTGAAGTCATTGCCAATTAGGAGGGTTTCTTTTTCTTTAGATTTTCAAGCATTGGTAACCGGAATGAGGTATTGGAGGGTGGACCATGGCATATAGGAGGCCAACCCATTATTCTAAGGAAATGGCAACCTAGGCTTAAATTGCACAAGGAAGCTCTGAGGAAGATACCTGTCTGGGTGAAGTTCTTTAATATTCCTGATGAATACTGGACACCCAAGGGTTTCAGATACATAGCAAGTGCAGTGGGCAAACCACTTTACATGGATAAACTCACTGAAGAAGGTAGTAGAACTTCCTTTGCGAGAATTTGCATTGAAATTGATGCGGAGGAACCATTCCCAGAGACATTTGACTTACTGATGGAAGGAGAAAAGGAGGGAGATATTGAAACAGTGGAAATTAGAGTGGAATACCAATGGAAGCCCCCAAGATGTGACCAATGCAAGGTTTTTGGGCATAGTTGTCCTAAGATTCTTATAGAGCCTAGGATTTTGGTAAAGGAAGGTACGTCATTTGCAAATGATGTAATCTTTAATGGTGGAATCTCTAACCAGTCAGTGGTTGTTGAGGTTGCAAAGGATGGAGGAAATATGAAGTCTTGGAATAAAGCCAAAGATAAGGGGAAGGAGAAAATAAATGAAGAGAAGGGTGGCCAGATTACCATTGAGCTCCAAACTAGTCCTAGTGCTGTGTGTGGAGTTGTTCCTTCCCCAAACAAATTTCAGGCATAGTGTCTATGGCTCAAGGGGAGGAAGTAGTTGATGCTAGTGATTTTGAACCAGTTGAACCAAGTACCATGCTTGACAAAATCAAGATGGTTGGTGAAATTGAACAACTGAAAATTACCTCTACAAGGAAGAAGAATAAGAAAGCAAGGGGAAAGCTCAAAAATCTGGCCAACAGTAGCCTGGTGGTATCTCATGAGGGGATGGGTACTCCTCCAATTTCAAACCCTATTTGATAGATATCTCATGTTGGAATGTGAGAGGGCTAAATGGCCCTCTTAAACAAGCTGAAGTGAGGAGACAAATTAGTCAATCTAGAGTTGGGCTTTGTGGCTTGGTGGAAACAAAAATTAGGAGAGTTAATAATAAAAGGATCTTTAGAACTATGTACCCTGGTTGGAATTTGATTAATAACAATGATTGGTCCACGACGGGCAAGATTTGGGTATGCTAGGATCCTCTTGTTTATGAGGTTGAGAAGCTGGACCAAAATGATCAGGTTATCAATTGTAAGGCTACCTACTTGGCTAACAGGAGAGTTTTTTTTCCCTCTTTTGTCTATGCCCAAAATACTGAAGTGCTTAGAAGACCACTGTGGCTTAGCTTAGTGCAAAGACATGCATATATGATGAATAAAGCTTGGATTGTGCTGGGTGATTTTAACGTTGTGAGGTCTATGGATGAACTGTTGGGGGGATGTAATGCTAGAGATAAAGGTAATAAAGAGTTTTGTAATTGTCTTTTTAGAATGGAGCTTGAGGATTTAAAGTACTTAGTTAATCAATACACCTGGTGCAACAAAAGGTATAATGGTGGTATTATTGCTAGCAAATTGGACAGGATCCCGGTTAATTAATCATGGGCTACTGACTTCCCTGCTTCCGAAGGTTTTTTCCTAGTTCCAGGGATCTTTGACTACTCAATGGCCTTACTTAGACTTGGGGAGGGACAACCTAAGGGTAGAAGACCTTTCAAGTTTTTTTATTTATGGACCAACAATCAGGGTTTCTTTCCAATTGTGAGCAATGCTTGGAATACATAGATCAGGGGCACTCCTATGTTTCGGGTCTACCAAAAATTGAAGGTGCTGAAGAAAGAGCTAAAAGAACTCAACAAAAATTCATATAGTGACATCTCCACAAGAGCTATGGGGGCAAAGCAAGCTTTGGATGATGTTCAAAGGAAATTTGATAGAATCCTTATAATGAAGAAATCTGAGAGGAAAGGAGGAAGCTTCAAGATTATTTCCACTTGAAAGAAGCTGAAGAGAGTCTCCTTAGACAAAAATCCAGGGTCCAATGGTTGAACATGGGGGACCTAAATACAAGGTATTTCTTTAAAACCATTAGCAAGCAAAGAATCCAAAGGAGATTAACTACAATTGAGAAGGAGGACAGCTCCAGAGTTACTGATATGAGAAAGGTTAAAGAGGAGGTGTTACATTACTATGAAAATTTGTTGGGTACTCCGCACCCTCGGTCTCTGATTCCTATGCATTGGGTAAGGCAATTCATTACTCGAAGAATCTCTGGGCAGCAGGTTTGTGTAATGGAACAAATGGTTACTAGGAAGAAAATTAAGAAGGTCATGTTTTNTGTTCTTTGACGCCATGAACAAGGTCATGGAATGGGCGGGGAAGCCTAATGTAGCAGATTTCCTGCCATTTCTGAAATGGCTCGACCCAATGAGGATCAAGAGGAATATGGTGCGGGACATGGGAGAATGCATGAAGATTATCTCTGGGGTTGTAAAGGAGAGGGTTGAAGAAAAGCAGTCAGGAAGAGAGAAGATGGGAAAAGACTTATTGGATGTGTTGATGGAGTACGAAGGTGATGAAAAAGAGGGACTTGGCAAGATTTCAGAGAGGAATGTGATCATCATCATCCTGGTAATTTGGTACTCTACTACTAGTTGTATAGCTTACAAGTATAAATCAAATATTTACCAACCTTTCAATGATGCAGGAAATTTTTTTCGGTGGATCAGAAACTTCAAGTAGCACCATTGAATGGGCAATGACAGAACTATTACGCAGCCTTGACTCAATGAAAAAGGTTAGGGAAGAGCTTGATAGGGTCGTAAGACCTAACAGGAAGGTCGAAGAGAGTGACATCAATGAACTGCCCTATTTGCAGGCAGTTGTCAAAGAAACACTTCGATTACATCCAGCAATTCCTTTATTGATTCCACGGAGTGCAAGGGAAGATACCAACTACATGGGATATCTCACACCCAAAGATACGCAAGTACTAGTGAATGCATGGGCAATTGGAAGGGACCCCGAGGCCTGGGATGACCCTCTATCTTTCAAGCCAGAGAGGTTTTTAGGTTCAGATATCGAGTACAAGGGCCAGCATTTTCAGTTCATTCCATTTGGATCAGGGAGACGGATTTGTCTAGGCTCTTCCTTGGCTCATAGAGTGATTACCCTTAGCCTGGCTAGCTTGCTACACTCCTTTGACTGGGAGCTTGATAGGTATGCTACTCCACAGACCATAGACATGAAGGAGAGGATGGGGTTAACGTTGCGGAAGCTAGATCCCTTGAGAGCAATTCCCAAAAGACGAGCTATGTGAAAATGAATTGCTAGATAAAACATACCCAGGAGGCTGTGGGCATGTAAGATTACTGTTGTGTTCTCCTTTTTAAGATTGTATCCAAGCTTTTATGTGATTTACTTCTATGGTCGCAATAATCCCTCCTAGTTTTCTTTGTAATATGGAAAAACCGATCTTCCTTCCAGCAATTTGAAATTTCTTCAATGTGTATGACTATATTTTGCAGTCTAATAAATAAATTTTGAATCATGAACATTTGGTGATGGATTCAAAATTATTTTCAAGTCACATCGTCTTTGTTGAGATTGGCAACAAAACTAGTAATTAAAGAGAACTTGTTACTTTTCTTTCTTGGGCACTAATAATTAAACTTAGTGATGTTGATAAATTCATAAGAAATAATACTTAAATCCAAATTAATAAATTACAGATTATACCTAAAAAGTTAAGCCCAAAAAGGAGATTGCATTACATTCTCATACCCCAACATTAAGAGGAAGTACCATACGCAAAAATGAAAAAACAGCATTCCTAATACAATTAATCATAAGCATATAAGCTAAAGAGTTTTTGTTAGGTAAAAATGAAAAGAAATGTTAGAAAGGGCGACAGTAAACTGGCTGTGTTAGCTGTTTTCTGCATGAGGCCTTTCTTTTTATCTTTCTTAACATAAGAAAAAAACAACAGCGGACCAGAGAAAGCGATGAAACCCTACCTCACCCACCGCCTCTTTCCCTTTTCTTCTGGACACTCCTCACCAACCCCAATCTCTTCCATTAACTCCTATTTTAATCTTACCTGAATCCCCTTCTACCCTCTTGTGCATCTTTGTCTTTTCCCTTTTGTCCTTTCCCATTTGTTTCCATGTCAATCCCCAAGGTAACCCCTTTTGAAATTGAAAGGGAGTTTACTCCTCTCGGCATAAATGCTTGCTCGTTGTTGGGTCCATCAAATGGACAGGTCATTAAAGTGCTGCACAAAGCTTTTGAGAATGAATCTAACGGGAATACTATTGTCATGGAGGTTACCCCAAATGGAGTTGCTACTGTGGTGGCAGGATGCTCTGTTCCAAGTGATGTTTATGTTGTTGAGTGGTCTGCTGATATTTCTGTGGAAATACCCACCGCAAAATCTAGTTCCCTTGGTATGGCCCTTGATAATTCAGAGGGTACCCGGTGTAACGAGGCAGAGCCAAGTAACCTTGCGGAGCTAATGCGTGAAAATGAGTTGCTAAGGACGATGGTTGAGACCAATAGGAAGTTTGATCAAGGGGTTTTGAACCATTGAGGTTTGGCCACTGGTTGAGGAAATGAAAGAGATCCATCACAAGGGGGGTGGAAGGACTGGAAGTAACACATCCACTTGGGGTGGCAGGGGTGATGTTGGAAATGGCCATGGGAGCAAAACTACTGCAAGGTTGCTAGGGAAACAAATTTATGGAGCAACACCAAATCCATCAATAGGTACTCCTTCCAACCCTTCTCTTAATCAAGAGACTTTTGCTAGTGCTCTGGTTGAGAAGCAATCTGGCACATCTTGGGTCAGCAAAGTGAGGCATAACCCCAGATTAGTTATTGAGATGGAATTTATGGCCCCTAGCAAGAACAATGGTAGGATTACGGTCCAACCTCCCAAGCAAGTTGCTCAAGAGGGTTGCTCTAAATGGGAGGCAAGCATTGTGGGTTATTTTATTGGAAAGAAATTGCCTTATAATTTGGTTAAGGCATTTGCTTTGAGAATGTGGAGTACGAAGGGGTTGTTTGAAGTCATTGCCAATTAGGAGGGTTTCTTTTTCTTTAGATTTTCAAGCATTGGTAACCGGAATGAGGTATTGGAGGGTGGACCATGGCATATAGGAGGCCAACCCATTATTCTAAGGAAATGGCAACCTAGGCTTAAATTGCACAAGGAAGCTCTGAGGAAGATACCTGTCTGGGTGAAGTTCTTTAATATTCCTGATGAATACTGGACACCCAAGGGTTTCAGATACATAGCAAGTGCAGTGGGCAAACCACTTTACATGGATAAACTCACTGAAGAAGGTAGTAGAACTTCCTTTGCGAGAATTTGCATTGAAATTGATGCGGAGGAACCATTCCCAGAGACATTTGACTTACTGATGGAAGGAGAAAAGGAGGGAGATATTGAAACAGTGGAAATTAGAGTGGAATACCAATGGAAGCCCCCAAGATGTGACCAATGCAAGGTTTTTGGGCATAGTTGTCCTAAGATTCTTATAGAGCCTAGGATTTTGGTAAAGGAAGGTACGTCATTTGCAAATGATGTAATCTTTAATGGTGGAATCTCTAACCAGTCAGTGGTTGTTGAGGTTGCAAAGGATGGAGGAAATATGAAGTCTTGGAATAAAGCCAAAGATAAGGGGAAGGAGAAAATAAATGAAGAGAAGGGTGGCCAGATTACCATTGAGCTCCAAACTAGTCCTAGTGCTGTGTGTGGAGTTGTTCCTTCCCCAAACAAATTTCAGGCATAGTGTCTATGGCTCAAGGGGAGGAAGTAGTTGATGCTAGTGATTTTGAACCAGTTGAACCAAGTACCATGCTTGACAAAATCAAGATGGTTGGTGAAATTGAACAACTGAAAATTACCTCTACAAGGAAGAAGAATAAGAAAGCAAGGGGAAAGCTCAAAAATCTGGCCAACAGTAGCCTGGTGGTATCTCATGAGGGGATGGGTACTCCTCCAATTTCAAACCCTATTTGATAGATATCTCATGTTGGAATGTGAGAGGGCTAAATGGCCCTCTTAAACAAGCTGAAGTGAGGAGACAAATTAGTCAATCTAGAGTTGGGCTTTGTGGCTTGGTGGAAACAAAAATTAGGAGAGTTAATAATAAAAGGATCTTTAGAACTATGTACCCTGGTTGGAATTTGATTAATAACAATGATTGGTCCACGACGGGCAAGATTTGGGTATGCTAGGATCCTCTTGTTTATGAGGTTGAGAAGCTGGACCAAAATGATCAGGTTATCAATTGTAAGGCTACCTACTTGGCTAACAGGAGAGTTTTTTTTCCCTCTTTTGTCTATGCCCAAAATACTGAAGTGCTTAGAAGACCACTGTGGCTTAGCTTAGTGCAAAGACATGCATATATGATGAATAAAGCTTGGATTGTGCTGGGTGATTTTAACGTTGTGAGGTCTATGGATGAACTGTTGGGGGGATGTAATGCTAGAGATAAAGGTAATAAAGAGTTTTGTAATTGTCTTTTTAGAATGGAGCTTGAGGATTTAAAGTACTTAGTTAATCAATACACCTGGTGCAACAAAAGGTATAATGGTGGTATTATTGCTAGCAAATTGGACAGGATCCCGGTTAATTAATCATGGGCTACTGACTTCCCTGCTTCCGAAGGTTTTTTCCTAGTTCCAGGGATCTTTGACTACTCAATGGCCTTACTTAGACTTGGGGAGGGACAACCTAAGGGTAGAAGACCTTTCAAGTTTTTTTATTTATGGACCAACAATCAGGGTTTCTTTCCAATTGTGAGCAATGCTTGGAATACATAGATCAGGGGCACTCCTATGTTTCGGGTCTACCAAAAATTGAAGGTGCTGAAGAAAGAGCTAAAAGAACTCAACAAAAATTCATATAGTGACATCTCCACAAGAGCTATGGGGGCAAAGCAAGCTTTGGATGATGTTCAAAGGAAATTTGATAGAATCCTTATAATGAAGAAATCTGAGAGGAAAGGAGGAAGCTTCAAGATTATTTCCACTTGAAAGAAGCTGAAGAGAGTCTCCTTAGACAAAAATCCAGGGTCCAATGGTTGAACATGGGGGACCTAAATACAAGGTATTTCTTTAAAACCATTAGCAAGCAAAGAATCCAAAGGAGATTAACTACAATTGAGAAGGAGGACAGCTCCAGAGTTACTGATATGAGAAAGGTTAAAGAGGAGGTGTTACATTACTATGAAAATTTGTTGGGTACTCCGCACCCTCGGTCTCTGATTCCTATGCATTGGGTAAGGCAATTCATTACTCGAAGAATCTCTGGGCAGCAGGTTTGTGTAATGGAACAAATGGTTACTAGGAAGAAAATTAAGAAGGTCATGTTTTCCATGAAGGAAGGCAAAGCCCCAGGGCCTGATGGTTACTTTGCAGGTTTTTTCAAGAAATCTTGGCATATTGTTGGACGTGGTGTCACCGATGCTATTCTTTCTTTCTTTGAGAGTGGAAGGTTGCTCCAAGAGGTTAATTCCACAATCATTGCCCTTATTCCCAAGGTTCCCAGTCCCTCAAAACTTTCTAAATACAGACCTATTTCATGTTGTAATGTTATTTATAAATGTATCTCCAAGATTATTGCTAATAGAATCAAGGAGGTCCTCCCCGATTTGGTCGATAAATCATACGCAGCCTTTGTTAGAGGTAGGGGAATCTCTGACAATATTCTGCTTTCACAAGAATTGCTTAGAAATTATCATTTGGATGAAGGGGCTCCAAGGTACACTCTCAAGATTGATCTCATGAAAGCATACGATAATGTGAGGTGGGAGTTTGTATTAGAAATGGTTAGTCAGATGGGATTTCCTCAAATGATGTTACTTTGGATTGAGACCTGTGTTACCACCCCTAAGTATTCCATTAGTATTAATGGTGAATTAAATGGATACTTTGCAGGGAAAAANATTCCACGGAGTGCAAGGGAAGATACCAACTACATGGGATATCTCACACCCAAAGATACGCAAGTACTAGTGAATGCATGGGCAATTGGAAGGGACCCCGAGGCCTGGGATGACCCTCTATCTTTCAAGCCAGAGAGGTTTTTAGGTTCAGATATCGAGTACAAGGGCCAGCATTTTCAGTTCATTCCATTTGGATCAGGGAGACGGATTTGTCTAGGCTCTTCCTTGGCTCATAGAGTGATTACCCTTAGCCTGGCTAGCTTGCTACACTCCTTTGACTGGGAGCTTGATAGGTATGCTACTCCACAGACCATAGACATGAAGGAGAGGATGGGGTTAACGTTGCGGAAGCTAGATCCCTTGAGAGCAATTCCCAAAAGACGAGCTATGTGAAAATGAATTGCTAGATAAAACATACCCAGGAGGCTGTGGGCATGTAAGATTACTGTTGTGTTCTCCTTTTTAAGATTGTATCCAAGCTTTTATGTGATTTACTTCTATGGTCGCAATAATCCCTCCTAGTTTTCTTTGTAATATGGAAAAACCGATCTTCCTTCCAGCAATTTGAAATTTCTTCAATGTGTATGACTATATTTTGCAGTCTAATAAATAAATTTTGAATCATGAACATTTGGTGATGGATTCAAAATTATTTTCAAGTCACATCGTCTTTGTTGAGATTGGCAACAAAACTAGTAATTAAAGAGAACTTGTTACTTTTCTTTCTTGGGCACTAATAATTAAACTTAGTGATGTTGATAAATTCATAAGAAATAATACTTAAATCCAAATTAATAAATTACAGATTATACCTAAAAAGTTAAGCCCAAAAAGGAGATTGCATTACATTCTCATACCCCAACATTAAGAGGAAGTACCATACGCAAAAATGAAAAAACAGCATTCCTAATACAATTAATCATAAGCATATAAGCTAAAGAGTTTTTGTTAGGTAAAAATGAAAAGAAATGTTAGAAAGGGCGACAGTAAACTGGCTGTGTTAGCTGTTTTCTGCATGAGGCCTTTCTTTTTATCTTTCTTAACATAAGAAAAAAACAACAGCGGACCAGAGAAAGCGATGAAACCCTACCTCACCCACCGCCTCTTTCCCTTTTCTTCTGGACACTCCTCACCAACCCCAATCTCTTCCATTAACTCCTATTTTAATCTTACCTGAATCCCCTTCTACCCTCTTGTGCATCTTTGTCTTTTCCCTTTTGTCCTTTCCCATTTGTTTCCATGTCAATCCCCAAGGTAACCCCTTTTGAAATTGAAAGGGAGTTTACTCCTCTCGGCATAAATGCTTGCTCGTTGTTGGGTCCATCAAATGGACAGGTCATTAAAGTGCTGCACAAAGCTTTTGAGAATGAATCTAACGGGAATACTATTGTCATGGAGGTTACCCCAAATGGAGTTGCTACTGTGGTGGCAGGATGCTCTGTTCCAAGTGATGTTTATGTTGTTGAGTGGTCTGCTGATATTTCTGTGGAAATACCCACCGCAAAATCTAGTTCCCTTGGTATGGCCCTTGATAATTCAGAGGGTACCCGGTGTAACGAGGCAGAGCCAAGTAACCTTGCGGAGCTAATGCGTGAAAATGAGTTGCTAAGGACGATGGTTGAGACCAATAGGAAGTTTGATCAAGGGGTTTTGAACCATTGAGGTTTGGCCACTGGTTGAGGAAATGAAAGAGATCCATCACAAGGGGGGTGGAAGGACTGGAAGTAACACATCCACTTGGGGTGGCAGGGGTGATGTTGGAAATGGCCATGGGAGCAAAACTACTGCAAGGTTGCTAGGGAAACAAATTTATGGAGCAACACCAAATCCATCAATAGGTACTCCTTCCAACCCTTCTCTTAATCAAGAGACTTTTGCTAGTGCTCTGGTTGAGAAGCAATCTGGCACATCTTGGGTCAGCAAAGTGAGGCATAACCCCAGATTAGTTATTGAGATGGAATTTATGGCCCCTAGCAAGAACAATGGTAGGATTACGGTCCAACCTCCCAAGCAAGTTGCTCAAGAGGGTTGCTCTAAATGGGAGGCAAGCATTGTGGGTTATTTTATTGGAAAGAAATTGCCTTATAATTTGGTTAAGGCATTTGCTTTGAGAATGTGGAGTACGAAGGGGTTGTTTGAAGTCATTGCCAATTAGGAGGGTTTCTTTTTCTTTAGATTTTCAAGCATTGGTAACCGGAATGAGGTATTGGAGGGTGGACCATGGCATATAGGAGGCCAACCCATTATTCTAAGGAAATGGCAACCTAGGCTTAAATTGCACAAGGAAGCTCTGAGGAAGATACCTGTCTGGGTGAAGTTCTTTAATATTCCTGATGAATACTGGACACCCAAGGGTTTCAGATACATAGCAAGTGCAGTGGGCAAACCACTTTACATGGATAAACTCACTGAAGAAGGTAGTAGAACTTCCTTTGCGAGAATTTGCATTGAAATTGATGCGGAGGAACCATTCCCAGAGACATTTGACTTACTGATGGAAGGAGAAAAGGAGGGAGATATTGAAACAGTGGAAATTAGAGTGGAATACCAATGGAAGCCCCCAAGATGTGACCAATGCAAGGTTTTTGGGCATAGTTGTCCTAAGATTCTTATAGAGCCTAGGATTTTGGTAAAGGAAGGTACGTCATTTGCAAATGATGTAATCTTTAATGGTGGAATCTCTAACCAGTCAGTGGTTGTTGAGGTTGCAAAGGATGGAGGAAATATGAAGTCTTGGAATAAAGCCAAAGATAAGGGGAAGGAGAAAATAAATGAAGAGAAGGGTGGCCAGATTACCATTGAGCTCCAAACTAGTCCTAGTGCTGTGTGTGGAGTTGTTCCTTCCCCAAACAAATTTCAGGCATAGTGTCTATGGCTCAAGGGGAGGAAGTAGTTGATGCTAGTGATTTTGAACCAGTTGAACCAAGTACCATGCTTGACAAAATCAAGATGGTTGGTGAAATTGAACAACTGAAAATTACCTCTACAAGGAAGAAGAATAAGAAAGCAAGGGGAAAGCTCAAAAATCTGGCCAACAGTAGCCTGGTGGTATCTCATGAGGGGATGGGTACTCCTCCAATTTCAAACCCTATTTGATAGATATCTCATGTTGGAATGTGAGAGGGCTAAATGGCCCTCTTAAACAAGCTGAAGTGAGGAGACAAATTAGTCAATCTAGAGTTGGGCTTTGTGGCTTGGTGGAAACAAAAATTAGGAGAGTTAATAATAAAAGGATCTTTAGAACTATGTACCCTGGTTGGAATTTGATTAATAACAATGATTGGTCCACGACGGGCAAGATTTGGGTATGCTAGGATCCTCTTGTTTATGAGGTTGAGAAGCTGGACCAAAATGATCAGGTTATCAATTGTAAGGCTACCTACTTGGCTAACAGGAGAGTTTTTTTTCCCTCTTTTGTCTATGCCCAAAATACTGAAGTGCTTAGAAGACCACTGTGGCTTAGCTTAGTGCAAAGACATGCATATATGATGAATAAAGCTTGGATTGTGCTGGGTGATTTTAACGTTGTGAGGTCTATGGATGAACTGTTGGGGGGATGTAATGCTAGAGATAAAGGTAATAAAGAGTTTTGTAATTGTCTTTTTAGAATGGAGCTTGAGGATTTAAAGTACTTAGTTAATCAATACACCTGGTGCAACAAAAGGTATAATGGTGGTATTATTGCTAGCAAATTGGACAGGATCCCGGTTAATTAATCATGGGCTACTGACTTCCCTGCTTCCGAAGGTTTTTTCCTAGTTCCAGGGATCTTTGACTACTCAATGGCCTTACTTAGACTTGGGGAGGGACAACCTAAGGGTAGAAGACCTTTCAAGTTTTTTTATTTATGGACCAACAATCAGGGTTTCTTTCCAATTGTGAGCAATGCTTGGAATACATAGATCAGGGGCACTCCTATGTTTCGGGTCTACCAAAAATTGAAGGTGCTGAAGAAAGAGCTAAAAGAACTCAACAAAAATTCATATAGTGACATCTCCACAAGAGCTATGGGGGCAAAGCAAGCTTTGGATGATGTTCAAAGGAAATTTGATAGAATCCTTATAATGAAGAAATCTGAGAGGAAAGGAGGAAGCTTCAAGATTATTTCCACTTGAAAGAAGCTGAAGAGAGTCTCCTTAGACAAAAATCCAGGGTCCAATGGTTGAACATGGGGGACCTAAATACAAGGTATTTCTTTAAAACCATTAGCAAGCAAAGAATCCAAAGGAGATTAACTACAATTGAGAAGGAGGACAGCTCCAGAGTTACTGATATGAGAAAGGTTAAAGAGGAGGTGTTACATTACTATGAAAATTTGTTGGGTACTCCGCACCCTCGGTCTCTGATTCCTATGCATTGGGTAAGGCAATTCATTACTCGAAGAATCTCTGGGCAGCAGGTTTGTGTAATGGAACAAATGGTTACTAGGAAGAAAATTAAGAAGGTCATGTTTTCCATGAAGGAAGGCAAAGCCCCAGGGCCTGATGGTTACTTTGCAGGTTTTTTCAAGAAATCTTGGCATATTGTTGGACGTGGTGTCACCGATGCTATTCTTTCTTTCTTTGAGAGTGGAAGGTTGCTCCAAGAGGTTAATTCCACAATCATTGCCCTTATTCCCAAGGTTCCCAGTCCCTCAAAACTTTCTAAATACAGACCTATTTCATGTTGTAATGTTATTTATAAATGTATCTCCAAGATTATTGCTAATAGAATCAAGGAGGTCCTCCCCGATTTGGTCGATAAATCATACGCAGCCTTTGTTAGAGGTAGGGGAATCTCTGACAATATTCTGCTTTCACAAGAATTGCTTAGAAATTATCATTTGGATGAAGGGGCTCCAAGGTACACTCTCAAGATTGATCTCATGAAAGCATACGATAATGTGAGGTGGGAGTTTGTATTAGAAATGGTTAGTCAGATGGGATTTCCTCAAATGATGTTACTTTGGATTGAGACCTGTGTTACCACCCCTAAGTATTCCATTAGTATTAATGGTGAATTAAATGGATACTTTGCAGGGAAAAAGGGCCTTAGGTAGGGTGACCCAATTTCCCCTTACCTTTTCGTGGTTGTTATAAAAGTTTTTAATGGAATGATGAAATCTATCACTGGAGGTGTGAGAAAGATTCCATCCCATCTTTGATTTGCGAATGATCTTATGCTCTTTTGCAAAGACTCTCTTGATTCTATTAAAGCAATTAAAGAGGTTCTTCAAGTGTTTGAGGTCTTTTCAGGACTCCAACCTAATCTATCCAAGAGTCATGTCTTCCTATCTAGTGTGCATCCTGATATAAGAANCTAGGCTCTTCCTTGGCTCATAGAGTGATTACCCTTAGCCTGGCTAGCTTGCTACACTCCTTTGACTGGGAGCTTGATAGGTATGCTACTCCACAGACCATAGACATGAAGGAGAGGATGGGGTTAACGTTGCGGAAGCTAGATCCCTTGAGAGCAATTCCCAAAAGACGAGCTATGTGAAAATGAATTGCTAGATAAAACATACCCAGGAGGCTGTGGGCATGTAAGATTACTGTTGTGTTCTCCTTTTTAAGATTGTATCCAAGCTTTTATGTGATTTACTTCTATGGTCGCAATAATCCCTCCTAGTTTTCTTTGTAATATGGAAAAACCGATCTTCCTTCCAGCAATTTGAAATTTCTTCAATGTGTATGACTATATTTTGCAGTCTAATAAATAAATTTTGAATCATGAACATTTGGTGATGGATTCAAAATTATTTTCAAGTCACATCGTCTTTGTTGAGATTGGCAACAAAACTAGTAATTAAAGAGAACTTGTTACTTTTCTTTCTTGGGCACTAATAATTAAACTTAGTGATGTTGATAAATTCATAAGAAATAATACTTAAATCCAAATTAATAAATTACAGATTATACCTAAAAAGTTAAGCCCAAAAAGGAGATTGCATTACATTCTCATACCCCAACATTAAGAGGAAGTACCATACGCAAAAATGAAAAAACAGCATTCCTAATACAATTAATCATAAGCATATAAGCTAAAGAGTTTTTGTTAGGTAAAAATGAAAAGAAATGTTAGAAAGGGCGACAGTAAACTGGCTGTGTTAGCTGTTTTCTGCATGAGGCCTTTCTTTTTATCTTTCTTAACATAAGAAAAAAACAACAGCGGACCAGAGAAAGCGATGAAACCCTACCTCACCCACCGCCTCTTTCCCTTTTCTTCTGGACACTCCTCACCAACCCCAATCTCTTCCATTAACTCCTATTTTAATCTTACCTGAATCCCCTTCTACCCTCTTGTGCATCTTTGTCTTTTCCCTTTTGTCCTTTCCCATTTGTTTCCATGTCAATCCCCAAGGTAACCCCTTTTGAAATTGAAAGGGAGTTTACTCCTCTCGGCATAAATGCTTGCTCGTTGTTGGGTCCATCAAATGGACAGGTCATTAAAGTGCTGCACAAAGCTTTTGAGAATGAATCTAACGGGAATACTATTGTCATGGAGGTTACCCCAAATGGAGTTGCTACTGTGGTGGCAGGATGCTCTGTTCCAAGTGATGTTTATGTTGTTGAGTGGTCTGCTGATATTTCTGTGGAAATACCCACCGCAAAATCTAGTTCCCTTGGTATGGCCCTTGATAATTCAGAGGGTACCCGGTGTAACGAGGCAGAGCCAAGTAACCTTGCGGAGCTAATGCGTGAAAATGAGTTGCTAAGGACGATGGTTGAGACCAATAGGAAGTTTGATCAAGGGGTTTTGAACCATTGAGGTTTGGCCACTGGTTGAGGAAATGAAAGAGATCCATCACAAGGGGGGTGGAAGGACTGGAAGTAACACATCCACTTGGGGTGGCAGGGGTGATGTTGGAAATGGCCATGGGAGCAAAACTACTGCAAGGTTGCTAGGGAAACAAATTTATGGAGCAACACCAAATCCATCAATAGGTACTCCTTCCAACCCTTCTCTTAATCAAGAGACTTTTGCTAGTGCTCTGGTTGAGAAGCAATCTGGCACATCTTGGGTCAGCAAAGTGAGGCATAACCCCAGATTAGTTATTGAGATGGAATTTATGGCCCCTAGCAAGAACAATGGTAGGATTACGGTCCAACCTCCCAAGCAAGTTGCTCAAGAGGGTTGCTCTAAATGGGAGGCAAGCATTGTGGGTTATTTTATTGGAAAGAAATTGCCTTATAATTTGGTTAAGGCATTTGCTTTGAGAATGTGGAGTACGAAGGGGTTGTTTGAAGTCATTGCCAATTAGGAGGGTTTCTTTTTCTTTAGATTTTCAAGCATTGGTAACCGGAATGAGGTATTGGAGGGTGGACCATGGCATATAGGAGGCCAACCCATTATTCTAAGGAAATGGCAACCTAGGCTTAAATTGCACAAGGAAGCTCTGAGGAAGATACCTGTCTGGGTGAAGTTCTTTAATATTCCTGATGAATACTGGACACCCAAGGGTTTCAGATACATAGCAAGTGCAGTGGGCAAACCACTTTACATGGATAAACTCACTGAAGAAGGTAGTAGAACTTCCTTTGCGAGAATTTGCATTGAAATTGATGCGGAGGAACCATTCCCAGAGACATTTGACTTACTGATGGAAGGAGAAAAGGAGGGAGATATTGAAACAGTGGAAATTAGAGTGGAATACCAATGGAAGCCCCCAAGATGTGACCAATGCAAGGTTTTTGGGCATAGTTGTCCTAAGATTCTTATAGAGCCTAGGATTTTGGTAAAGGAAGGTACGTCATTTGCAAATGATGTAATCTTTAATGGTGGAATCTCTAACCAGTCAGTGGTTGTTGAGGTTGCAAAGGATGGAGGAAATATGAAGTCTTGGAATAAAGCCAAAGATAAGGGGAAGGAGAAAATAAATGAAGAGAAGGGTGGCCAGATTACCATTGAGCTCCAAACTAGTCCTAGTGCTGTGTGTGGAGTTGTTCCTTCCCCAAACAAATTTCAGGCATAGTGTCTATGGCTCAAGGGGAGGAAGTAGTTGATGCTAGTGATTTTGAACCAGTTGAACCAAGTACCATGCTTGACAAAATCAAGATGGTTGGTGAAATTGAACAACTGAAAATTACCTCTACAAGGAAGAAGAATAAGAAAGCAAGGGGAAAGCTCAAAAATCTGGCCAACAGTAGCCTGGTGGTATCTCATGAGGGGATGGGTACTCCTCCAATTTCAAACCCTATTTGATAGATATCTCATGTTGGAATGTGAGAGGGCTAAATGGCCCTCTTAAACAAGCTGAAGTGAGGAGACAAATTAGTCAATCTAGAGTTGGGCTTTGTGGCTTGGTGGAAACAAAAATTAGGAGAGTTAATAATAAAAGGATCTTTAGAACTATGTACCCTGGTTGGAATTTGATTAATAACAATGATTGGTCCACGACGGGCAAGATTTGGGTATGCTAGGATCCTCTTGTTTATGAGGTTGAGAAGCTGGACCAAAATGATCAGGTTATCAATTGTAAGGCTACCTACTTGGCTAACAGGAGAGTTTTTTTTCCCTCTTTTGTCTATGCCCAAAATACTGAAGTGCTTAGAAGACCACTGTGGCTTAGCTTAGTGCAAAGACATGCATATATGATGAATAAAGCTTGGATTGTGCTGGGTGATTTTAACGTTGTGAGGTCTATGGATGAACTGTTGGGGGGATGTAATGCTAGAGATAAAGGTAATAAAGAGTTTTGTAATTGTCTTTTTAGAATGGAGCTTGAGGATTTAAAGTACTTAGTTAATCAATACACCTGGTGCAACAAAAGGTATAATGGTGGTATTATTGCTAGCAAATTGGACAGGATCCCGGTTAATTAATCATGGGCTACTGACTTCCCTGCTTCCGAAGGTTTTTTCCTAGTTCCAGGGATCTTTGACTACTCAATGGCCTTACTTAGACTTGGGGAGGGACAACCTAAGGGTAGAAGACCTTTCAAGTTTTTTTATTTATGGACCAACAATCAGGGTTTCTTTCCAATTGTGAGCAATGCTTGGAATACATAGATCAGGGGCACTCCTATGTTTCGGGTCTACCAAAAATTGAAGGTGCTGAAGAAAGAGCTAAAAGAACTCAACAAAAATTCATATAGTGACATCTCCACAAGAGCTATGGGGGCAAAGCAAGCTTTGGATGATGTTCAAAGGAAATTTGATAGAATCCTTATAATGAAGAAATCTGAGAGGAAAGGAGGAAGCTTCAAGATTATTTCCACTTGAAAGAAGCTGAAGAGAGTCTCCTTAGACAAAAATCCAGGGTCCAATGGTTGAACATGGGGGACCTAAATACAAGGTATTTCTTTAAAACCATTAGCAAGCAAAGAATCCAAAGGAGATTAACTACAATTGAGAAGGAGGACAGCTCCAGAGTTACTGATATGAGAAAGGTTAAAGAGGAGGTGTTACATTACTATGAAAATTTGTTGGGTACTCCGCACCCTCGGTCTCTGATTCCTATGCATTGGGTAAGGCAATTCATTACTCGAAGAATCTCTGGGCAGCAGGTTTGTGTAATGGAACAAATGGTTACTAGGAAGAAAATTAAGAAGGTCATGTTTTCCATGAAGGAAGGCAAAGCCCCAGGGCCTGATGGTTACTTTGCAGGTTTTTTCAAGAAATCTTGGCATATTGTTGGACGTGGTGTCACCGATGCTATTCTTTCTTTCTTTGAGAGTGGAAGGTTGCTCCAAGAGGTTAATTCCACAATCATTGCCCTTATTCCCAAGGTTCCCAGTCCCTCAAAACTTTCTAAATACAGACCTATTTCATGTTGTAATGTTATTTATAAATGTATCTCCAAGATTATTGCTAATAGAATCAAGGAGGTCCTCCCCGATTTGGTCGATAAATCATACGCAGCCTTTGTTAGAGGTAGGGGAATCTCTGACAATATTCTGCTTTCACAAGAATTGCTTAGAAATTATCATTTGGATGAAGGGGCTCCAAGGTACACTCTCAAGATTGATCTCATGAAAGCATACGATAATGTGAGGTGGGAGTTTGTATTAGAAATGGTTAGTCAGATGGGATTTCCTCAAATGATGTTACTTTGGATTGAGACCTGTGTTACCACCCCTAAGTATTCCATTAGTATTAATGGTGAATTAAATGGATACTTTGCAGGGAAAAAGGGCCTTAGGTAGGGTGACCCAATTTCCCCTTACCTTTTCGTGGTTGTTATAAAAGTTTTTAATGGAATGATGAAATCTATCACTGGAGGTGTGAGAAAGATTCCATCCCATCTTTGATTTGCGAATGATCTTATGCTCTTTTGCAAAGACTCTCTTGATTCTATTAAAGCAATTAAAGAGATTCTTCAAGTGTTTGAGGTCTTTTCAGGACTCCAACCTAATCTATCCAAGAGTCATGTCTTCCTATCTAGTGTGCATCCTGATATAAGAACAACGATTGTGCAAGAATTGGGATTTGGAATGGGGGAACTGCTTGTCAAGTACCTTGGGGTTCCTCTTATTACCACTAGACTTAAGGCTGTTGATTGCCAATCGCTTGTTGGCAGAATTACTGAGAAGGTTAGTTCATGGAGCAACAAGTTCTTATCTTATGCAGGAAGGGTCCAACTGATTAATTATGTTCTCTTAAGGAGGTTTCTGTGGTCTAGAACTAATTCAAAGCCTGGAGGCGCAAAAGTGGCATGGGATACTGTGTCTTTACCTAAGCAAGAAGGGGGCTTGGGGATTAAAGGGGTTGAGGATTGGAATAGAGCTGTTATACGGATTGGAATAGAGTTGTTATACTTAAACATGTAGGGAATGTTATTTGTAGTTCTTGTAGCTCATTATGGAGTTACTGGGTTGATACCTACTTGCTGAAGGGGAGATGTTTTTGGTCCGTTAAGATTCCTTCAAATTCCTCCTGGGCTTGGAGGAAGATTTTGAGCATGAGGGATGTTTTTAAGCCCCTAATTAACTATAAAATTGGTAATGGGAACACTATTTCTTTGGTTGGACCCTAGGCAACCTGAAGGGCCTATTCATGATAACAGGGGGATATGGTTTTGAGAGCCTCTTGGCCTGGGGATAGATGCTAAGGTATGCAACATTATTGATGGAAGGGATTGGACTTGGCCTTTGGCTGATCATGTGGACCTTCTGGAGTTGAAAGGAGGGATCCCTGCTGTTATGAAACCAAATCCTGATAGTGAGGACACCTTACAATGGTTACCTTCCTGCATGCTTGAGTTCAGCACAAATACTGCATGGGAACAACTCATAAATAAGGGGCAAATTCAAAACTGGCATAGTATTGTATGGTTCTCTGGAGCTGTGCCAAGGTATAGCTTTATTCTTTGGTTGGCAGTTCAAGAGAAGCTTACTACCCAAGATAAATTAATTTCTTTTGGTATCTTTCAAATAGCTCAATGTGTTTTTTGTAGAGAGGTAACTGAAACTCTTGTCCACCTTTTCTTTGCTTGTTCTTTTACAAAGAGAATCTGGTTATTTTTGCAAAGCAAACACAATGTCCAATGACCTAGCTTGGAGTGGAGGATTTTGGTTAATTGGTTTGCTATTAATATTAAGGGGAAAGGAATTGGGAAACTGATTAGTAGGCTTATACTTGCAACTGTGGTCTATGTGACTTGGAGAGAAAGAAATGATAGGATTTTCATAAATGACTATAAAGATGTGGTGACTATCTCTAAAGATTTGGTGGATTGCATTAGATTTAAACTTCACTTGAGCAGGGGTTACAAAAAAATTGTTCCTAATCTTTGATTTCAAAACAATGGGCTTTGCTTGTGGATATTTTTTATCCTCCTTGAGGGTTTCTTGGTCCTGAGTTTTCTGCCTTGGGTGCCTTTTTTTGATCTGCTGGTGTTTATTTATAATGTGTTGGTTTTTTGGTGATGGATAGTCTGTTTCTATAATGCTCTGTATTTTTGGCTGTGAAGGTTCCTGACTTGGGCATCTTTGTTGAGCTGCTGGGTTTCTTGGTGCTAGATGGTGCTGCTGGACTACTGCTGGTCTGCTTTTTTGTGCTGTTCTGCTAGACTACTGCGTTTTGAGCTGCTTGTTTTTCTGAGTTGATGGCCTGACTTGGGCGTCTCTTTGAGCTGCTTGCTGTTCTGATGAACTGTTGCTGCTGTTCTATTTTGAGTTGCTGGTCTGTTTTTGTGCTGCTAGTTGTTTGTACTGGTTTTTAGTGCTGGTTGGTACTATTGGTCTGGTTTTTGATGTTGTTTGGTATTGTCGGAATGCTCTGTTCTATTTTGTGCAGACTCCTCTACTTTGTTTTCCTTTGTTTTGCTCGTTTTTGTAATCTTTGTTTCTTGTGCAATGGGATGGGGGATCTTCTGTCCAACTATCTAGAAGATTGTCCATCCCTTTGTTTTACCTTGTACGTTTTTTGCCCTTTCGGTTTATGATATTTCATCTTACTTACCAAAAAAAAAATAGTTGTGTGATATGAATTCAATCAATATAAAAAGAAAACTCGTGGCTCTCCAAAATGCAACAAATTTAGACAATGTTTGAAAGCAAAAGGGGACATGATATGGAATATATACATATACATATATATATACATATACATATATATATATATATATATNGAAAGAAATTGCCTTATAATTTGGTTAAGGCATTTGCTTTGAGAATGTGGAGTACGAAGGGGTTGTTTGAAGTCATTGCCAATTAGGAGGGTTTCTTTTTCTTTAGATTTTCAAGCATTGGTAACCGGAATGAGGTATTGGAGGGTGGACCATGGCATATAGGAGGCCAACCCATTATTCTAAGGAAATGGCAACCTAGGCTTAAATTGCACAAGGAAGCTCTGAGGAAGATACCTGTCTGGGTGAAGTTCTTTAATATTCCTGATGAATACTGGACACCCAAGGGTTTCAGATACATAGCAAGTGCAGTGGGCAAACCACTTTACATGGATAAACTCACTGAAGAAGGTAGTAGAACTTCCTTTGCGAGAATTTGCATTGAAATTGATGCGGAGGAACCATTCCCAGAGACATTTGACTTACTGATGGAAGGAGAAAAGGAGGGAGATATTGAAACAGTGGAAATTAGAGTGGAATACCAATGGAAGCCCCCAAGATGTGACCAATGCAAGGTTTTTGGGCATAGTTGTCCTAAGATTCTTATAGAGCCTAGGATTTTGGTAAAGGAAGGTACGTCATTTGCAAATGATGTAATCTTTAATGGTGGAATCTCTAACCAGTCAGTGGTTGTTGAGGTTGCAAAGGATGGAGGAAATATGAAGTCTTGGAATAAAGCCAAAGATAAGGGGAAGGAGAAAATAAATGAAGAGAAGGGTGGCCAGATTACCATTGAGCTCCAAACTAGTCCTAGTGCTGTGTGTGGAGTTGTTCCTTCCCCAAACAAATTTCAGGCATAGTGTCTATGGCTCAAGGGGAGGAAGTAGTTGATGCTAGTGATTTTGAACCAGTTGAACCAAGTACCATGCTTGACAAAATCAAGATGGTTGGTGAAATTGAACAACTGAAAATTACCTCTACAAGGAAGAAGAATAAGAAAGCAAGGGGAAAGCTCAAAAATCTGGCCAACAGTAGCCTGGTGGTATCTCATGAGGGGATGGGTACTCCTCCAATTTCAAACCCTATTTGATAGATATCTCATGTTGGAATGTGAGAGGGCTAAATGGCCCTCTTAAACAAGCTGAAGTGAGGAGACAAATTAGTCAATCTAGAGTTGGGCTTTGTGGCTTGGTGGAAACAAAAATTAGGAGAGTTAATAATAAAAGGATCTTTAGAACTATGTACCCTGGTTGGAATTTGATTAATAACAATGATTGGTCCACGACGGGCAAGATTTGGGTATGCTAGGATCCTCTTGTTTATGAGGTTGAGAAGCTGGACCAAAATGATCAGGTTATCAATTGTAAGGCTACCTACTTGGCTAACAGGAGAGTTTTTTTTCCCTCTTTTGTCTATGCCCAAAATACTGAAGTGCTTAGAAGACCACTGTGGCTTAGCTTAGTGCAAAGACATGCATATATGATGAATAAAGCTTGGATTGTGCTGGGTGATTTTAACGTTGTGAGGTCTATGGATGAACTGTTGGGGGGATGTAATGCTAGAGATAAAGGTAATAAAGAGTTTTGTAATTGTCTTTTTAGAATGGAGCTTGAGGATTTAAAGTACTTAGTTAATCAATACACCTGGTGCAACAAAAGGTATAATGGTGGTATTATTGCTAGCAAATTGGACAGGATCCCGGTTAATTAATCATGGGCTACTGACTTCCCTGCTTCCGAAGGTTTTTTCCTAGTTCCAGGGATCTTTGACTACTCAATGGCCTTACTTAGACTTGGGGAGGGACAACCTAAGGGTAGAAGACCTTTCAAGTTTTTTTATTTATGGACCAACAATCAGGGTTTCTTTCCAATTGTGAGCAATGCTTGGAATACATAGATCAGGGGCACTCCTATGTTTCGGGTCTACCAAAAATTGAAGGTGCTGAAGAAAGAGCTAAAAGAACTCAACAAAAATTCATATAGTGACATCTCCACAAGAGCTATGGGGGCAAAGCAAGCTTTGGATGATGTTCAAAGGAAATTTGATAGAATCCTTATAATGAAGAAATCTGAGAGGAAAGGAGGAAGCTTCAAGATTATTTCCACTTGAAAGAAGCTGAAGAGAGTCTCCTTAGACAAAAATCCAGGGTCCAATGGTTGAACATGGGGGACCTAAATACAAGGTATTTCTTTAAAACCATTAGCAAGCAAAGAATCCAAAGGAGATTAACTACAATTGAGAAGGAGGACAGCTCCAGAGTTACTGATATGAGAAAGGTTAAAGAGGAGGTGTTACATTACTATGAAAATTTGTTGGGTACTCCGCACCCTCGGTCTCTGATTCCTATGCATTGGGTAAGGCAATTCATTACTCGAAGAATCTCTGGGCAGCAGGTTTGTGTAATGGAACAAATGGTTACTAGGAAGAAAATTAAGAAGGTCATGTTTTCCATGAAGGAAGGCAAAGCCCCAGGGCCTGATGGTTACTTTGCAGGTTTTTTCAAGAAATCTTGGCATATTGTTGGACGTGGTGTCACCGATGCTATTCTTTCTTTCTTTGAGAGTGGAAGGTTGCTCCAAGAGGTTAATTCCACAATCATTGCCCTTATTCCCAAGGTTCCCAGTCCCTCAAAACTTTCTAAATACAGACCTATTTCATGTTGTAATGTTATTTATAAATGTATCTCCAAGATTATTGCTAATAGAATCAAGGAGGTCCTCCCCGATTTGGTCGATAAATCATACGCAGCCTTTGTTAGAGGTAGGGGAATCTCTGACAATATTCTGCTTTCACAAGAATTGCTTAGAAATTATCATTTGGATGAAGGGGCTCCAAGGTACACTCTCAAGATTGATCTCATGAAAGCATACGATAATGTGAGGTGGGAGTTTGTATTAGAAATGGTTAGTCAGATGGGATTTCCTCAAATGATGTTACTTTGGATTGAGACCTGTGTTACCACCCCTAAGTATTCCATTAGTATTAATGGTGAATTAAATGGATACTTTGCAGGGAAAAAGGGCCTTAGGTAGGGTGACCCAATTTCCCCTTACCTTTTCGTGGTTGTTATAAAAGTTTTTAATGGAATGATGAAATCTATCACTGGAGGTGTGAGAAAGATTCCATCCCATCTTTGATTTGCGAATGATCTTATGCTCTTTTGCAAAGACTCTCTTGATTCTATTAAAGCAATTAAAGAGATTCTTCAAGTGTTTGAGGTCTTTTCAGGACTCCAACCTAATCTATCCAAGAGTCATGTCTTCCTATCTAGTGTGCATCCTGATATAAGAACAACGATTGTGCAAGAATTGGGATTTGGAATGGGGGAACTGCTTGTCAAGTACCTTGGGGTTCCTCTTATTACCACTAGACTTAAGGCTGTTGATTGCCAATCGCTTGTTGGCAGAATTACTGAGAAGGTTAGTTCATGGAGCAACAAGTTCTTATCTTATGCAGGAAGGGTCCAACTGATTAATTATGTTCTCTTAAGGAGGTTTCTGTGGTCTAGAACTAATTCAAAGCCTGGAGGCGCAAAAGTGGCATGGGATACTGTGTCTTTACCTAAGCAAGAAGGGGGCTTGGGGATTAAAGGGGTTGAGGATTGGAATAGAGCTGTTATACGGATTGGAATAGAGTTGTTATACTTAAACATGTAGGGAATGTTATTTGTAGTTCTTGTAGCTCATTATGGAGTTACTGGGTTGATACCTACTTGCTGAAGGGGAGATGTTTTTGGTCCGTTAAGATTCCTTCAAATTCCTCCTGGGCTTGGAGGAAGATTTTGAGCATGAGGGATGTTTTTAAGCCCCTAATTAACTATAAAATTGGTAATGGGAACACTATTTCTTTGGTTGGACCCTAGGCAACCTGAAGGGCCTATTCATGATAACAGGGGGATATGGTTTTGAGAGCCTCTTGGCCTGGGGATAGATGCTAAGGTATGCAACATTATTGATGGAAGGGATTGGACTTGGCCTTTGGCTGATCATGTGGACCTTCTGGAGTTGAAAGGAGGGATCCCTGCTGTTATGAAACCAAATCCTGATAGTGAGGACACCTTACAATGGTTACCTTCCTGCATGCTTGAGTTCAGCACAAATACTGCATGGGAACAACTCATAAATAAGGGGCAAATTCAAAACTGGCATAGTATTGTATGGTTCTCTGGAGCTGTGCCAAGGTATAGCTTTATTCTTTGGTTGGCAGTTCAAGAGAAGCTTACTACCCAAGATAAATTAATTTCTTTTGGTATCTTTCAAATAGCTCAATGTGTTTTTTGTAGAGAGGTAACTGAAACTCTTGTCCACCTTTTCTTTGCTTGTTCTTTTACAAAGAGAATCTGGTTATTTTTGCAAAGCAAACACAATGTCCAATGACCTAGCTTGGAGTGGAGGATTTTGGTTAATTGGTTTGCTATTAATATTAAGGGGAAAGGAATTGGGAAACTGATTAGTAGGCTTATACTTGCAACTGTGGTCTATGTGACTTGGAGAGAAAGAAATGATAGGATTTTCATAAATGACTATAAAGATGTGGTGACTATCTCTAAAGATTTGGTGGATTGCATTAGATTTAAACTTCACTTGAGCAGGGGTTACAAAAAAATTGTTCCTAATCTTTGATTTCAAAACAATGGGCTTTGCTTGTGGATATTTTTTATCCTCCTTGAGGGTTTCTTGGTCCTGAGTTTTCTGCCTTGGGTGCCTTTTTTTGATCTGCTGGTGTTTATTTATAATGTGTTGGTTTTTTGGTGATGGATAGTCTGTTTCTATAATGCTCTGTATTTTTGGCTGTGAAGGTTCCTGACTTGGGCATCTTTGTTGAGCTGCTGGGTTTCTTGGTGCTAGATGGTGCTGCTGGACTACTGCTGGTCTGCTTTTTTGTGCTGTTCTGCTAGACTACTGCGTTTTGAGCTGCTTGTTTTTCTGAGTTGATGGCCTGACTTGGGCGTCTCTTTGAGCTGCTTGCTGTTCTGATGAACTGTTGCTGCTGTTCTATTTTGAGTTGCTGGTCTGTTTTTGTGCTGCTAGTTGTTTGTACTGGTTTTTAGTGCTGGTTGGTACTATTGGTCTGGTTTTTGATGTTGTTTGGTATTGTCGGAATGCTCTGTTCTATTTTGTGCAGACTCCTCTACTTTGTTTTCCTTTGTTTTGCTCGTTTTTGTAATCTTTGTTTCTTGTGCAATGGGATGGGGGATCTTCTGTCCAACTATCTAGAAGATTGTCCATCCCTTTGTTTTACCTTGTACGTTTTTTGCCCTTTCGGTTTATGATATTTCATCTTACTTACCAAAAAAAAAATAGTTGTGTGATATGAATTCAATCAATATAAAAAGAAAACTCGTGGCTCTCCAAAATGCAACAAATTTAGACAATGTTTGAAAGCAAAAGGGGACATGATATGGAATATATACATATACATATATATATACATATACATATATATATATATATATATAATAAAACAGGAGTGTGTTTAAATGTTATCCAAGTCATATTTTTTTCCTCAAAACTATCATCAATCACTTACCTCACCCATCATCCTTTTATCAGACTCAAACGTCAAATCATATCACTCATTTCTATCACATATTTAATCATTTATANTGATGTAATCTTTAATGGTGGAATCTCTAACCAGTCAGTGGTTGTTGAGGTTGCAAAGGATGGAGGAAATATGAAGTCTTGGAATAAAGCCAAAGATAAGGGGAAGGAGAAAATAAATGAAGAGAAGGGTGGCCAGATTACCATTGAGCTCCAAACTAGTCCTAGTGCTGTGTGTGGAGTTGTTCCTTCCCCAAACAAATTTCAGGCATAGTGTCTATGGCTCAAGGGGAGGAAGTAGTTGATGCTAGTGATTTTGAACCAGTTGAACCAAGTACCATGCTTGACAAAATCAAGATGGTTGGTGAAATTGAACAACTGAAAATTACCTCTACAAGGAAGAAGAATAAGAAAGCAAGGGGAAAGCTCAAAAATCTGGCCAACAGTAGCCTGGTGGTATCTCATGAGGGGATGGGTACTCCTCCAATTTCAAACCCTATTTGATAGATATCTCATGTTGGAATGTGAGAGGGCTAAATGGCCCTCTTAAACAAGCTGAAGTGAGGAGACAAATTAGTCAATCTAGAGTTGGGCTTTGTGGCTTGGTGGAAACAAAAATTAGGAGAGTTAATAATAAAAGGATCTTTAGAACTATGTACCCTGGTTGGAATTTGATTAATAACAATGATTGGTCCACGACGGGCAAGATTTGGGTATGCTAGGATCCTCTTGTTTATGAGGTTGAGAAGCTGGACCAAAATGATCAGGTTATCAATTGTAAGGCTACCTACTTGGCTAACAGGAGAGTTTTTTTTCCCTCTTTTGTCTATGCCCAAAATACTGAAGTGCTTAGAAGACCACTGTGGCTTAGCTTAGTGCAAAGACATGCATATATGATGAATAAAGCTTGGATTGTGCTGGGTGATTTTAACGTTGTGAGGTCTATGGATGAACTGTTGGGGGGATGTAATGCTAGAGATAAAGGTAATAAAGAGTTTTGTAATTGTCTTTTTAGAATGGAGCTTGAGGATTTAAAGTACTTAGTTAATCAATACACCTGGTGCAACAAAAGGTATAATGGTGGTATTATTGCTAGCAAATTGGACAGGATCCCGGTTAATTAATCATGGGCTACTGACTTCCCTGCTTCCGAAGGTTTTTTCCTAGTTCCAGGGATCTTTGACTACTCAATGGCCTTACTTAGACTTGGGGAGGGACAACCTAAGGGTAGAAGACCTTTCAAGTTTTTTTATTTATGGACCAACAATCAGGGTTTCTTTCCAATTGTGAGCAATGCTTGGAATACATAGATCAGGGGCACTCCTATGTTTCGGGTCTACCAAAAATTGAAGGTGCTGAAGAAAGAGCTAAAAGAACTCAACAAAAATTCATATAGTGACATCTCCACAAGAGCTATGGGGGCAAAGCAAGCTTTGGATGATGTTCAAAGGAAATTTGATAGAATCCTTATAATGAAGAAATCTGAGAGGAAAGGAGGAAGCTTCAAGATTATTTCCACTTGAAAGAAGCTGAAGAGAGTCTCCTTAGACAAAAATCCAGGGTCCAATGGTTGAACATGGGGGACCTAAATACAAGGTATTTCTTTAAAACCATTAGCAAGCAAAGAATCCAAAGGAGATTAACTACAATTGAGAAGGAGGACAGCTCCAGAGTTACTGATATGAGAAAGGTTAAAGAGGAGGTGTTACATTACTATGAAAATTTGTTGGGTACTCCGCACCCTCGGTCTCTGATTCCTATGCATTGGGTAAGGCAATTCATTACTCGAAGAATCTCTGGGCAGCAGGTTTGTGTAATGGAACAAATGGTTACTAGGAAGAAAATTAAGAAGGTCATGTTTTCCATGAAGGAAGGCAAAGCCCCAGGGCCTGATGGTTACTTTGCAGGTTTTTTCAAGAAATCTTGGCATATTGTTGGACGTGGTGTCACCGATGCTATTCTTTCTTTCTTTGAGAGTGGAAGGTTGCTCCAAGAGGTTAATTCCACAATCATTGCCCTTATTCCCAAGGTTCCCAGTCCCTCAAAACTTTCTAAATACAGACCTATTTCATGTTGTAATGTTATTTATAAATGTATCTCCAAGATTATTGCTAATAGAATCAAGGAGGTCCTCCCCGATTTGGTCGATAAATCATACGCAGCCTTTGTTAGAGGTAGGGGAATCTCTGACAATATTCTGCTTTCACAAGAATTGCTTAGAAATTATCATTTGGATGAAGGGGCTCCAAGGTACACTCTCAAGATTGATCTCATGAAAGCATACGATAATGTGAGGTGGGAGTTTGTATTAGAAATGGTTAGTCAGATGGGATTTCCTCAAATGATGTTACTTTGGATTGAGACCTGTGTTACCACCCCTAAGTATTCCATTAGTATTAATGGTGAATTAAATGGATACTTTGCAGGGAAAAAGGGCCTTAGGTAGGGTGACCCAATTTCCCCTTACCTTTTCGTGGTTGTTATAAAAGTTTTTAATGGAATGATGAAATCTATCACTGGAGGTGTGAGAAAGATTCCATCCCATCTTTGATTTGCGAATGATCTTATGCTCTTTTGCAAAGACTCTCTTGATTCTATTAAAGCAATTAAAGAGATTCTTCAAGTGTTTGAGGTCTTTTCAGGACTCCAACCTAATCTATCCAAGAGTCATGTCTTCCTATCTAGTGTGCATCCTGATATAAGAACAACGATTGTGCAAGAATTGGGATTTGGAATGGGGGAACTGCTTGTCAAGTACCTTGGGGTTCCTCTTATTACCACTAGACTTAAGGCTGTTGATTGCCAATCGCTTGTTGGCAGAATTACTGAGAAGGTTAGTTCATGGAGCAACAAGTTCTTATCTTATGCAGGAAGGGTCCAACTGATTAATTATGTTCTCTTAAGGAGGTTTCTGTGGTCTAGAACTAATTCAAAGCCTGGAGGCGCAAAAGTGGCATGGGATACTGTGTCTTTACCTAAGCAAGAAGGGGGCTTGGGGATTAAAGGGGTTGAGGATTGGAATAGAGCTGTTATACGGATTGGAATAGAGTTGTTATACTTAAACATGTAGGGAATGTTATTTGTAGTTCTTGTAGCTCATTATGGAGTTACTGGGTTGATACCTACTTGCTGAAGGGGAGATGTTTTTGGTCCGTTAAGATTCCTTCAAATTCCTCCTGGGCTTGGAGGAAGATTTTGAGCATGAGGGATGTTTTTAAGCCCCTAATTAACTATAAAATTGGTAATGGGAACACTATTTCTTTGGTTGGACCCTAGGCAACCTGAAGGGCCTATTCATGATAACAGGGGGATATGGTTTTGAGAGCCTCTTGGCCTGGGGATAGATGCTAAGGTATGCAACATTATTGATGGAAGGGATTGGACTTGGCCTTTGGCTGATCATGTGGACCTTCTGGAGTTGAAAGGAGGGATCCCTGCTGTTATGAAACCAAATCCTGATAGTGAGGACACCTTACAATGGTTACCTTCCTGCATGCTTGAGTTCAGCACAAATACTGCATGGGAACAACTCATAAATAAGGGGCAAATTCAAAACTGGCATAGTATTGTATGGTTCTCTGGAGCTGTGCCAAGGTATAGCTTTATTCTTTGGTTGGCAGTTCAAGAGAAGCTTACTACCCAAGATAAATTAATTTCTTTTGGTATCTTTCAAATAGCTCAATGTGTTTTTTGTAGAGAGGTAACTGAAACTCTTGTCCACCTTTTCTTTGCTTGTTCTTTTACAAAGAGAATCTGGTTATTTTTGCAAAGCAAACACAATGTCCAATGACCTAGCTTGGAGTGGAGGATTTTGGTTAATTGGTTTGCTATTAATATTAAGGGGAAAGGAATTGGGAAACTGATTAGTAGGCTTATACTTGCAACTGTGGTCTATGTGACTTGGAGAGAAAGAAATGATAGGATTTTCATAAATGACTATAAAGATGTGGTGACTATCTCTAAAGATTTGGTGGATTGCATTAGATTTAAACTTCACTTGAGCAGGGGTTACAAAAAAATTGTTCCTAATCTTTGATTTCAAAACAATGGGCTTTGCTTGTGGATATTTTTTATCCTCCTTGAGGGTTTCTTGGTCCTGAGTTTTCTGCCTTGGGTGCCTTTTTTTGATCTGCTGGTGTTTATTTATAATGTGTTGGTTTTTTGGTGATGGATAGTCTGTTTCTATAATGCTCTGTATTTTTGGCTGTGAAGGTTCCTGACTTGGGCATCTTTGTTGAGCTGCTGGGTTTCTTGGTGCTAGATGGTGCTGCTGGACTACTGCTGGTCTGCTTTTTTGTGCTGTTCTGCTAGACTACTGCGTTTTGAGCTGCTTGTTTTTCTGAGTTGATGGCCTGACTTGGGCGTCTCTTTGAGCTGCTTGCTGTTCTGATGAACTGTTGCTGCTGTTCTATTTTGAGTTGCTGGTCTGTTTTTGTGCTGCTAGTTGTTTGTACTGGTTTTTAGTGCTGGTTGGTACTATTGGTCTGGTTTTTGATGTTGTTTGGTATTGTCGGAATGCTCTGTTCTATTTTGTGCAGACTCCTCTACTTTGTTTTCCTTTGTTTTGCTCGTTTTTGTAATCTTTGTTTCTTGTGCAATGGGATGGGGGATCTTCTGTCCAACTATCTAGAAGATTGTCCATCCCTTTGTTTTACCTTGTACGTTTTTTGCCCTTTCGGTTTATGATATTTCATCTTACTTACCAAAAAAAAAATAGTTGTGTGATATGAATTCAATCAATATAAAAAGAAAACTCGTGGCTCTCCAAAATGCAACAAATTTAGACAATGTTTGAAAGCAAAAGGGGACATGATATGGAATATATACATATACATATATATATACATATACATATATATATATATATATATAATAAAACAGGAGTGTGTTTAAATGTTATCCAAGTCATATTTTTTTCCTCAAAACTATCATCAATCACTTACCTCACCCATCATCCTTTTATCAGACTCAAACGTCAAATCATATCACTCATTTCTATCACATATTTAATCATTTATATATTTTCTCTCTAAAAATATTACACTACTCATTTCTATCATATATTTAATTATTTATTATTTAATTAATTTATAATTAATATATTTTTAAAAAAATTAATATAATGAGATCTATTTTTTGAACGCTCGAATTTTATATTTTATCGTGCCTTTAGGTACGGGTTATGACTAGTATATATATATTTTAAGAGGCGAAGCCTTTACAAGATAAGGAATACTGTTGAGCCAAAAGTCCATTGATGTGATATGGTATATAAAAATAGAAATAGTACCTTAACTATTGGAAGAATGCTTGCTACGTAATAAGGAACCTACAAAAGAACAAAATCTGCACTGCACAATAGACCAAGCAAAAGGAGAGATATTCTTAGACTTGGCACCATTAGTCATCTAGCAAAGCGCATGAGATTTCTATTACGAAGTGGGATCAATCACTCCATGGGTCAATTGAATCCTTGTGAACAAAATAATCATCATAAGGTCTACTGCATGCGAACTCCTGGATATCTTTATGATTTGATTTTCTACTAAACCTTGAGATGAAATTGAGACCCATAAGAAGCTCTACAGTTGAGTTTCAGTCTTCGCTTCACTCGTGACATACATGTTTTGGAATAGAAGCACATTTGTCTCAGAAACCTTGTGATGTTCCCCAAAATTTCGCTGAAAATGTCACCTTACCATATTATGAGCAAGTGGAGCCAACCATTCAAGTATACTGATTGTAGGTGAGGGCGTACAGTAAGGGCCTTAAAAGAGGCTTAGACACGTAACTAAGCCAATGTTATTTGAAAAGATGAGTAGGATAAGTGGATGAAATAAAAGGGTGTTCTAATTGTCTATTAATGATAGGGCCAACTAGTTGGTCAGATAGTAGGTGGAAAGGATAAATGATCTCACCAACTAGGGTGCCTATGTTAGACAAGATAGTGATGAATGTCCCACAGTGGGCAAATGATACAGGTATTTATAACACAATGCCCTGGCAAGTTAGGTTGTCTGCCGCAGTCCTCTGACATCCATGTCAACCTTCAACTATTTTAATCGCGATGATACCGGTGGCTGCTCACCGCGAACTACATGTACCAACGTTAATTAGGCAAATATGATGCTTTCTGAAATGTAGCTTGGACAGGGTCCCCGAGGAATGGTGGGACATCCAAGGCAAAAGGGGGTTCCAAGGTCAATGATCATGATTATTCATTGCGGGACCATGATCACTGGAGGGCTATGTCCATGATGCTCCTAGAACGCTCCTTCCCGAGGTCTTTGCTTCCCTCCCTGAACCTTTCCTCGAGACTTTTTTCAAGGTGTCTGTTAGATTAAATTCACATAGTTTTGATTCTTCAGCCACTAATCCATATTTCCCAACATTTCATATGTTGATCTGGACCAATGACCCTAGGTACCTTAGGATTCCCTTCAAATCCCATTCAAGCACATCCCAATAGTCGGTGAGCCACACACTAGGAGGTCTACTCAATCAAACTAAACCTTTTAGGCCCTGTCCGAGGACTAGGCTAACAATCTTACTCATCTACCCTCATTGCTCAATTCTCCCTTGAGGAGAGCCATATTGTCCTGTCTTTAGGTGGAGACCCCTCCTCCTAGTTCAGTGCGTCAGTTAAGCATTGGTGTCCTATAGGTTGAGGATACCAATTCCATTAGCTGTGAACTCCTAACTTTGTGCCTTGTTTTCGCAGCGGGAGAAGCGAGTCAAGTTGAGGTTACCTCCAGACTTCCTTGGTGCCACTTTTGTCTGTCCTTGGTCGAGGGTCCATTTTGCCACTTTTGTAGTGGTTGAGGTTTCCTATGGCATTGGAACATTGTCGTAGACTATGGTGCTGTCACGCCACTAAATGTATGTCATGACACTGGAATAATGTTGTTGCACTGTTGTCCGTACCAATCTTGATGGATCCTTTCGGGCGCCATTGTCATGTCAACTGATAACTCCTATCACTTGTCCTTACATAGTGTGGACATGTCCTGAATTTATTAGGTACTATGCTTACTAGTGCCAAACTTCACTTTATTCCAAGCACAACATCATAAACAGATGAAGCCATGAATTCCCTTCAGCTTTGCCCTTAGGGAGTTTATGAAACTTTTCGGTAACAAATCACATTTGCACAGCAAAGAGCCAAAGTAGGACCATAAAGAGTAGATGGAGGATCAGTCAACAACTTAAATTTGGAATGATATAAAGATACCTTTTTATAGACCAAGCTACCACAGTGAAGCCGCATGCTAGCATATTTCATTCTATCATAGTATTTTTCAAAAACATTGGATAACCTTATTAACCTCAAAGAGCCACAACTTGATGTCATGCAATTCTACAAAATAGTGCTTCCAGCCATCTCTAAAAGGCTCAATATTGGCCAATTGTCTCATTGTCATCTGTGGGTGCTTTCCATAAATGATAGACAACTAGTAACGAGCATGAAATTTACTGTTGTTTATTTATTCCTACCACTAGGTAGGTGGTATTTGATAAAATTGAAAATTAAATGCTAAATTTTAAGTATTGAATGCTGAATTTTTTAATTCGCAAACTGTTTAATATCAACTGAAATTTAAGTATTGAATTGAATTAAACTGTTTGACAAATATAAGGAGCTAAAGTCTGAAAATTATTATTATTCTAATTTTGTCATTCTCTTTAACCATCACATTGCAACTACCTTATTTCTACCACCACCATCACAATAGTAGTAGTGGTAGTGGTGGCAACAACACAATAGTGGTGGTAGTGGTGGCAGTGGTGGCGGTGGCGGTGGCACAATGGTGGTGGTGGTGGTAGTGATGGTGATTGTGATGGTGGTGTTGATGGTGGCACAATGGTAGNGCATAATGGTGGTGGTGACAGTGGTGGCGGTGGCAGTGGCACAATGGTGGTGGTGGTGGTAGTGATGGTGATTGTGATGGTGGTGTTGACGGTGGCACAATGGTAGTGGCCGTGATGGTGGTAGTGGCGGTGGCAGCGATGCTGGTGGTGACAGTGATGGCATAATGATGGTTGTGGCGGTGACATAATGCTATTAGTAATGGTGGTGGCATAATAGTATTAGTAATGGTGGTGATGGTGGTTGTTGCACAATGGTGGTGGTGGTGCTAGTGTTGGTGATGGTGGTGATGACATAATGGTGGTGATGATAGCGGCACAATGGTGGCAATGGTGGTGGCGGCGGCACAAGGAGTCAGTGGAGATAGTGGTGACAACAATACAATGGTGGTGGTTGTGATGGATGGTGGGTATTGAAAAAGTTAAGAGTGTAAGATGGATTGAGGATATATTTGTCTATTATGAGAAATTGATAAAATCCTTACTAACAAGCATTTTTAGCATTAAGTGATAAATTGGTGGCTTGCTACTTAAAATTTTAGCCTATTTTTAAGAAGTGCTTAAAATATTAAGTAGTATGAGTTTTAGGTTATCAAACGGGTTTAATTTATTAAGTGTTTAACGTATTCAGTTTTAAAATTTAAGTGGTGTTATCAAACAACCCCTTTGTTCCAAACTTTAGACTGTCCTACTTAGAGAAGCTGAATAAAACTTAGATAGGTTACTTTCAGTGGATCAACATAAGTTTGCTTATGGGTAGTATACTCAAATATTCTAATCCAAGGAGACAACTCTACAGATTTCCCCTCCTAAAGCTGCCACAGAACCTTCTGAGGGAACACAAGAAATTTCACCCCCTCTTAAATCAACACTGACTTGAATTCTCCTTAGACTTACAAGTCTAGATGCAACTGTGCTGTAGCCGCAACAAATCTCTCCATTTTCTTAATTTTCCTCTCCATCTTCTTCAGTCTATATTCCCAGCCACACCAATTGCAACCAATCTCAACATTACCAGAAATTTGTTTTTTTAGTGGCAAGATTGAGATTGCGGCTAAAAATGTTGCCACTAAAATTATGTCTTTAGTGATAAAAAATATACCCGTGAATATTTCAAGTATAATCTAATTAGTGACAATTTAAATGTTGCATCCAAAATGTATTACAAAGCAGTCACTAATTCTCTGGTGCCAAAATTTTGTGTATATGAAAACACATTTAGTGACAAAATTTGATTTTAGCCATTGTTTTTTAATTAATTTAAGTTTTTAGTTGGTACAAACCATTTCTATATAATTTTAGTGGCCACATTATTGTCATCACAAATTCTCTAGGTGTCTTATTTTTAGCTACATTTTATTTTGTCACTCTATGTGACACGATATTACTGGCAACCAAGAGTTGTAGCTAATTCCTCCCAATCCCCACTAACCCAACATCGTTTT